TCGATATGAGATGTGCAAATAAGGCTATCATTCGTGAAAATCACCCACTGCCCACTATGGACACAATGCTTCCTAGATTCAGAAATGCTAAAATATTTTCCAGGCTAGACATTAAAAATGCTTTCCATCAAATAGAAATATCACCCAATTCTCGTTTCATAACCACTTTCATTAGTAACCGAGGCTTATTTCGCTACAAACGCCTAATGTTTGGGATCACATGTGCCCCAGAGATATTTCAGAAGACTATGGAGAGAATACTTTTACCTTGTGAAGGATCAGTTAATTTCATTGATGATATTCTGGTCTACGGAGAAAATGAAGTTGAACATGATAAGAGGCTCGAAAAGACACTTGCAGTACTTAAAGAAAATAATGTATTACTAAATGATAGCAAATGCGTATTCAAAATAAAAGTGATAAAATTTCTGGGACACATGTTATCTTCAATGGGGGTTGAACCTTTGAAAGAATATATCGACAGTATCAAATCCATGAGAAGGCCTGGAACGGTGGAAGAAATTCAAAGCTTTCTCGGGTTGATAAACTACGTAGGAAAATGGATAGCTAACTTGGCTACGCTTACTGAACCATTTAGGACAATATTGCGTTCAAAATTAGGCAAGCATGCGAATATCCATAGGCTGTGGTCAGCGGACCAAGAGAATGCTTTCAATAAGTTGAAAGCATCGTTGCAAAATATAAAATCATTAGGATTCTACGATCCCAATGACAAAACACAAGTAATAGCTGATGCTAGTCCTGTCGGACTAGGATCAGTTTTGATACAAATCAATAAAAATGGTCCGCGAATCATAGCCTATGGCAACAAAAGTTTATCTGATTGCGAAAAGCGATACTGCCAAACTGAAAAGGAAGCATTAGCGTTAGTTTGGGCAGTGGAACACTTCCATATTTATCTGTATGGCAAAGAATTTGAATTAATCACTGATCATAAGCCATTGGAGGTGATATTTGGACCAAAGTCTAAACCATGTGCCAGAATTGAACGTTGGGTACTTCGCTTACAATCTTTCAAATTCAAAATCGTGTATCGACCTGGCAAAAGTAATATAGCAGATCCCTTATCGCGGTTGTGTGTCAATAATAGGATTGTACAATCTTTCGACAATGACGAATATGTACACAGAATACTGGAGAGTTCACGTCCTTTAGCTGTCTCTATAGACGAAATAAAGAAATATTCCATGAACGATGACGAAATTTTGAATGTGAAACAGGGTATTTACAAAGATCAATGGGATGATTCCGTTAAGAACTATAGAATATTCGATTCCGAATTATGCTTTTGCGATGAAATTTTACTCAGGGGAAATAAAATCGTTATTCCTTTAAAATTACGCGAAGCTGTATTGATGGCAGCACATGAAGGCCATCCCGGAATAGTTGCCATGAAAAACCGTTTACGATCGAAAGTATGGTGGCCCAAAATCGATAGCGACGCTGAAAAAATAGTTAAATCATGCAAGGGTTGTACACTTGTATCAGCCCCTAATGCTCCCCATCCCATGAAAAGACGTGAACTACCAGTAGAACCTTGGGTAGACGTTGCTGTAGATTTTATGGGACCTCTACCCAGCGGCGATTATTTGTTCGTCATTGTCGATTATTTCAGCCGATATAAGGAGATAAAGATAATGCGGAAAATAACTGCTGCAGACACGGTTAAAGTACTTCACGAAATATTTGCTAGAGTTGGATTCCCTACTTCCATCACATCAGATAATGGAAAACAGTTCGTTGGTACTGAAATGACAAATTTTTGTAAGGAATGGGGTATTATTTTATTTCATACTATCCCATACTGGCCCCAACAGAATGGGGAAGTGGAGCGGCAAAATAGAGATATATTAAAAAGACTGAAAATAAGTCAATCGCTCAAGCGGGACTGGAAACAAGAATTGCTTGATTATTTAATTATGTATAATAGTACCCCGCATTCTAGTACAGGTATATCACCTTCACAATGTTTCTTTGGGCAAAAGTTTAGGGACAAAATTCCAAATCTAGAAAATGTAGAACATAAAGTAACCAACGGAGAGCTCAGGGATAAAGATAGAAATGAAAAGATGAAGGGAAAAGAATACGGTGACCTCAAGAGGAAGGCACAGGAAAATGATTTAGTATGTGGCGAAAAAGTGTACAAAAAACATCTCACGAAAGAAAATAAATTGACCGCTAATTTCGATCCAACTCCCCACACAGTAATAGAAAAACATGGAGGAGATGTAGTAGTAAGTAATGACATAACAAAGGAAAAATATAGAAGAAATATTGTTCATCTTAAAAAAGTAGAAGGCGAATGGCAAATCGCAAATAGAAATAGTACTGAAGAGCAAACAGAAAATAATATCTAAAAATAATATAGTTTTAGTTTAGTTAGTATTTTGTATACGTAATCTTAGATACCTGTTCTTGTGACTATTATATGGTATCAGTATATCCTTTATAGATGATCGTTATATGTATTAGATTGAGATTTATAAAAATTGGTTTGTTTATTTATTCGATGCATACTTACATTATTAAGAGGTTGATGAAAACAATATAAGATATATTTCGTATTGTAGAATTCCCATTTTTCATGAAAAGGAAGAGATGTAGTATTTCATATAAATGACTAATGTTCGATATCTTATCATGTCAATGATTAATCTGAATAAATCACCGAATGTGACGTTGGGCCGTTAGGTAACATCAGCACAAGAAGGCAGTTGTGATCGGACGGTCGGGCGGAGTGTAAGGTGTCATCGAGTACAAAAGTGTTTTATTGATATTCACCCTATACCTCATAAGTGACAGACATTACAGTAACCTCACTAAAAGATTCTTCCTAGAAATGGCATTCATCTCACAAAATCCCAATTGCATTAATAAAATAACTGATATTCAACATTTAAGTGAAATATACTCATTTCTCTTATCTTTAGACAAACAATCTCGATTTCCTCATAGCATTTTGAACATCAACAATTCCGAATAATAACATACAGTCTTTTCTTAAAATTCCTCATATCAAACTTTTCCAGTATAACCTGTTGTATTTCATGATCTGCCAACTAAGTAATTAGTATGTTCCCCCTTTTTCTGTTCCATTGGGTTGAGATTTGGAGGATTACTAACATTAGTATGTACCATAAGGGTTAAGAATTCAGACTTACGACCTACTCATGTCAATCTAAGGAAAAAAAGAAGAAGCATCCTAACCTATATTCTGCAGATTCGTTAAAATCGTTTCAACCACGTTGGATTTGAAAATTCAAACTTATTCATGAGGTAATAAGTAGCCTCTTATCTAATCATGATTATAACTAAGTAATTTCTTCTAACTTGTTTTTCGTCTCATCAGTATGTTAATGTTAACAATTTTACAAATTTTACAACAGATTAACCATTCTCAATAAGTGTAAGTGACAAAGTTTTTTCAATATTGTGAATTAATTATAATACTTCCAATAAGGAATACGCATGATTTTTTGTTTAATCGAAATTATATTCCTTCTTCCTTATAATAACATTGGATATCATTCATTAATCTCAAATTTGCTTGTGACTCTGAAAAATTTCATTTAAATGAGGCTAAATATGAAGTCACAGGAAAACGGGTTAGTGGCCATCACTAATATTATGACGTCATAGTATTAGGCCGCACAGCCATAGACTAGCGCGACAGAATGACAAGATTCAGATTGAAAAAAAAAGAAGAAGAAGAGGTAGGAGAAGAAAACAGTTTTAAACGCCAGAAATTTGAAATTTGAAAATGGAAAATGATATAATATACTGTTTAGTGCCGCAATGCCTTTCATCAACAAAAGTATCACCAAGAAAAATATTCCTTTCATTGCCAGTGAGATCGAGTGATAAAGATAAAGAGAAAAGAAAATTATGGTTGCAAGCCATAAATAGAAATGATTTATCCGAGAAAACCAGAGGATTTGTTTGTGAAGACCATTTCGAAGTGAGTATACGTTCAAGTATGTCCTAGTGAAACCCATTATATATCAATGATTATGTTCCTCATGTTATTAGGAGAATAATATAATATGTGATTTCGTTTTCAGCTTGAAGAAGATATGGAAAACTATATGAGATATAAATTGATAGGTGGTAATATATATTTGAAACAACATGCAAAAAGAAGTCCTGTTTGATCATTCTTATTGTAGGTATTAGCTTATTATTCAGTTATTATTATTCAGAATATTGAGATCCTATAATTGAGATAGATTATAGCTTAGATCATAGTATGATCTAAGGATTATAGAAACAACAAGCTCAGATAATCATAACCTCACTTACTCTTCTTATATTATTTTCAATCTTTCGGACATGAATGTTTGATATGACATGACAAATAAAAACAGCCACATCCAGTCGGAAATCATCGCTGCAGTTCGGCTGTTGGTCGGAAAGTTGCAAATATTATGATTTTCAATCAGAAATTATTAAATATTCGGTGCTTAATAATGTTTTTCGGATGTATAATTCGACATCTATACATATGAGTAATGGAACAAAAATATATTCCAGTGTAAAATTTTCACACGCGTATACCCTATTTTGTAGTCTACCCTGATGATGGAAATATACATTTCCGAAAGCTCGGACAAACTTGAATAAGTACACATTTACTTTTGCTGCATCCCCACTAAACTACTAGTTTTATCTCTAACTGGTCAGCAAAGACTTCCCTTCCTTATATATATATTTATATATCCATTTATTTATGTTCATAATTTTTTTTTTGCAATTGCATACCTCGTTGGTCCCAGCACTGGGACCAAACGCCCCATAAGTTGGAACTTGTGCGGGGTTAGGTATACATACAAACACAAACATCCATGGCCTAAATAGGATTCGAACCTATATCCTTCAATATTTCTTTTCAATAATTAAACATGTATTTATCGATGAAAACATAATCTTTCATGTATTTACCCCCGAAATGATTCAATAAGAAGTAAAACGACGTGCCATACCTGGATATGAATCGGCGCGGCCTGCAGCAACGAGTGAGTCAGCACGACCACCCCCTCCTTGTTGCCTACCCAGCCGATGTCCAAGGCGGGGTTGAGGTGGATGAGGGAATTGTCGCTGCTGCGCCACGTGCCCGGGGAGTTGTACTCGTTCACGACGGGCGTCCACAAGCAGATTATGTCGCCGCTTGTTAGTTCTTCTAGCAGAGGTCTGGAATACGTATCGTTTATTATTTACCTGTTTCAGATCTCAAAAATAATACTAATCTTGATTGAATAAGAAAGAACATATGTACCTTAAACTGATTCTTCCTATAACTAAATATTACATGTTTTACACGCTTATATTAGCTTGGTATGTATGTTTGTAACTCAGATTCTACGAACCTGATTTTGACCTACTTCAAAACGTCCGATTGATTTTAAATTTGGCAGGTGTACATGGTGACAATGCATTATGAAATTTTTGGTAGACAAAAAAACGAAATGACGACTCCAAAATAGCGGACGAGTTTTGTAATTATGATCCGATTCTATTGAAAATTGTTATCTGAGGGTTTCTGGGGTCGGAGATTATGATTCTTTGATCAAAATAGGCATTTACCAAAAATATAGATACCTAAAAAACACGTTTTTATAAATACCCAATATATAGTATACTGATTACGGAGGTGCTAATATTTTTTATGTTGAGTATTTATCAACACACTTTCATTATTTTATTTTGTAGTTTTTTTTAAAATACTATTCATCTTTCTCCTATTTCAGATCTTAATAATAATAATAATAAATTGCAGGCTCTCTCTCCTACTATTACAACGTATGTTTATACTCGTTTTAGATTCAACCTACTGACTTATAAACAACAGTGTACAAATTGGCTAGATTTACTTCATCTTCTTTGATATGGTGGACTGTGTGAATTACTTGTGATATTATATAAATAATAAATGCTCAAAGGAATGCTTAAATGTGTATACATTTTATCAACAGTAAAAACACAAGTGCTTTTTATATCGGATAAATGTCTCTTGGTAACGAAAAACATTTGCTGATCAGAAATTTTACGAGAAAAACTGACATGAAAAAATTGCGAGACCGTAGGTCGAGCAATTTGACGTAATGTCAGTTTTTCGAAAGAAATTACTGATGGAAAATTTTTGAGTTAGTAAGGAAATTTATCCAATTAAGAAAAATTCGAGTGTTTTTTGGGAAGATAAATCAACGACAATATACAAATAAACAACAATAAAGATTACCTTTATTGATGATTTCGTGTTACTGGTAGTTTGCGGAATTGATTTTCTCATAATTTTTTGTGGTTTCTTCAGGCGAAAGTTCCCTAAAACGGCCCCTCATGCTAATTTACGCGTGAAAAATACCCAACAATCAAGCTTGGCACGACCGAAATTGAAATCATCGTTTTTTATCGATGTCAAAATGACTCACGTCATCGTCAAATAGCATTTTCTTTGGAGGAGTTGATTTATCAGAATGAAAAATGCACTTGGATGGCGATACATTTTTTATGTGAATGTCAAGTCTCTATCTAATACATAACAACGTATATAGCAACGGACAAAAAATATGATATACAGGTAATCAACCACATGCAGGTTTGTCAGTTTGATTCAATAATACAGAATGCCGATAATAATTGTCTAGTGATGGAAGGTAAATGCTAGTTTTACGCTAAAATGAACCACGTGACCGGCTTGGAATAGTTAGTTAACGAGTATGTGCAGTGCATATATCGTACCGAGCCGACTTTGGATAAATGAAGAATACCATATATATATATACAGGGTGTCCTTAAAAGGTCTTTACAAAAAGCTACCACATATTCTTCAGACCAAAACAATTCGATACAAGCAAACTTACCTCAGTAAAAAGTTGCTTAGTTTGGGCGCTAGACGGCTCTGAAGTTGAAATTTTCAAATCGATTTTGCTTCATAACTTTTGAACGACTCATGAGATTTTTTTCAGATTTGGTACGTTGGCATAGACTCATCGGGCAATGAAACTCATATCATAATTATAATGAATATCATTCCATGGGCGTAGAACTTGATTTTTTCAGGAAATAAACATCTAAAACTTCTACGCCAATGGGAAAAAATTAGTTTCAATATGAAATCTAAATTATTCAACTCATTCACTACAAAAAAGGTACTCTTGACAAAAGTCGATTCCTCTCATGGTTTCGACAAAATTTTAATTTTAGTGATTTAGAGCATAATTAATAATAAAACGATTAACAGATATTTCATAAAAATTGTTCAAAATGTTCACCATTTTCACGTATACAAAGATTTATACGACGCAAAAAGTTGAAATGTACTCTTTGCATAACTTCTTCATCGCCTGTAAGATTATTCGTCGCCTGTTGGATACGTTGCCATAATTGTTCTACAGTATTCACAGGGGTCTTGTAAACCGTAGACTTGAGATAACCCCATACAAAATAATCCATCGGTGTTAAGTCTGGAGAACGTGGTGGCCAATTCACGGGTGCATCATTACCTCTACCTATCCATCTGTCTGGGTACTGTTGGTTTAAAAAATTCCTAACATCCACCGAAAAATGTGGTGGAGCTCCATCGTGCATAAACCACATATCTACCCGATGTTGGAGTGGTAAATCTTCCAACAAATTTGGCAACGTATTTCGTAGATGTTGTAAATACATGTCTCCTGTTAATCTTTGTGAAAGTATGACAGCACCAATTATAAAATTTCCTATTATTCCAGCCCAAACGTTGATTTTGAATTCGTGTTGAAAATGGTTTATTTTAATGGAATGGGGATTTTCAATTGCATAAACGTGTTCATTATGAAAATTAGTTATTCCTCTTCTCGTGAAACAGGCTTCATCAGTGAACAAAATATTCTTTCCAAAGTTCAGATTCATTTCTCTTTGCAAATTAATGAACCTACAAAACATCAGACGACTTTGTGAATCATGGATTAATAAATCTTGAACTGGCGTCTTGTGGTATGGGTATAATAATTGTTCTCTTAGTACTTCATGAACGGCATTCCTAGAAACTTCTAGTTCATTACTTATCCGTCTAGTACTCAATTCTGGATTTTCTTCAATACGGTCTAAAATTTCTACTTCGACTTCGGGAATCCTTACATAACGCTGTCTTCCATAATCACCAGTTCTAGGAGCAAAATGACCGGTCTCCCGAAGACGTCTCTCAACTGCAGCAAAGGTTGGGTGGCTTGGTACGCGACGATTTGGAAACCTTGCCGAATACACCCTCACACTCTCTCGACCATTTCCTTGACAATATCCGAATACCAATTACATATCGGTGTATTCTTCATTGGTGTATTGTACGGCCATGATAAATCAGAAAAGTCCGATATCAACAATCAACGTCAATAAAACTCGACAAATCAACACAGATGAAACTATGGAAACCAAGAATGTGAATATCACTGTTTTCGAGCAGATAATAATAGTCTTCAGAAAAAAAACCAGTGCTACTTATTTTCAATAGAAATAACCTATGCAAATAGTACATCTCAACTTTTTGCGTTGTATAAATCTTTGTATACGTGAAAATGGTGAACATTTTGAACAATTTTCATGAAATATCTGTTAATCGTTTCATTACCTATTGATTATGCTCTTAATCACTGAAATTAAAATTTTGTCGAAACCGTTCGACCATTTGTCAAGAGTACCTTTTTCGTAGTGAATGAGTTGAACAATCTAGATTTCATATTGAAACTAACTTTTTCCATTGGCGTAGGAGTTTTAGATGTTTATTTACTGAAAAAAGCAAGTTCTACGCCCATGGAATGATATTCATTATGATTAGGATTTCAACTTTTTGCGTCGTATAAATCTTTGTTCACGCGAAAATAGTGAACATTTTGGAAAACTTTCATGCAATATCTATCAATCGTTTTATTATTTAAATATGCGCGAAATCACTAAAACTTAAATATTGTCGAAACCATCAGAGTAATCGAATTTTATCAAGAGTACCTTTTTTGTAGTGAATGATTTGGGCTATCTAGATGTCATACTGAAACTGATTTTTTTTCATTGGCGTAGAAGTTTTAGATGTTTATTTCCTGAAAAAATCAAGTTCTACGCCCATGGAATGATATTCATTATGATTATGATATGAGTTTTATTGCCCGATGAGTCTATGCCAACGTACCAAATATGAAAAAAATCTCATGAGCCGTTCCAAAGTTATGAAGCAAAATCGATTCGAAAATTTCAACTTCAGAGCCGTCTAGCGCCCAAATTAAGCATCTTTTTACTGAGGTAAGTTTGCTTGTATCGAATTGTTTTGGTCTGAAGAATATGTGGTAGCTTTTTGTAAAGACCTTTCAAGGACACCCTGTATATAGTTTAAGAGAAGGGTAGTCTATGACTGACTAGTTGAGGTAAAATACTAGTGATTTAGAAACAAACACTGTGGTTCAATTCTTCATAGGGTTGCAGTCAAAATTTTAGGCATCAAATAAGTGAACTCTTCGTTATTTAGCCGAGCTTTCGGAATTGTTTATTTCCTTTTTCAAGACATCTATAAGAAAAATGGTATGCATAAAAAACAACATCAAACTCATATGAAACTAAGTACTTACTTAACATGAGATTGGTTTAAAGTTGGAACAATTAAAGAACAGACGATTCATTTGCTGAATTTGTTACACAAACTGGAAGACATTAGGATTTGTAAAACGTAGAAAACAATTTAAAAAACAGTAAACCACCGGTGCTTTTTCATAGTCGACTTCGATATCTCAACAAGATGGAAGCTAACAAACGGCCACAGATGATACAAATAATATGGAAAGAGCCGAATCGATTTCGATATCGATTACGAAAAGGTACGGATGGTGGGAAATTTGAATTGATAATTGGGTGGTGAGCCAACTTATTATTGAGGATTTGTTATTGATAATCTGGAAATATTGTTAGGAATACAGTTCATTTGTTCAATTTTAAGTAGATAATTATAAATGTTGCTAAGATTGTCGATATCGGACTTTTTATTCATACTATATGATTCATTATTAATGTGAACCATTTCCAAGAAAGTGCGCTTCAAATAACTATTTTCATGTGACCTCGTTAAAGTTCATTCTATGGTTTGAATCAATGACATGTTCAGCTAGTGCACAGCGTTTTCTATTACAGTTGCAATCACTTTTGTGTGAAGAAATCCGTCCTGATAAATTTCTCGAAGTTTGACCGATATAAGTCAAGTTGCAATTAAGGCAAGGGATTCTATATATTACATTATTCATTTCTAGTTCATTCATGGGAGTTTTGGTTTTAGAAAAAAGGATCGATACTGTTTTAACTTGTTTTTTTGCAATGATGATATTTTCATGTTTGAAGACATTCGACAATTTTGGAGTTAATTCTGCTATGTATGGTAGTGCTTTGTATTTTGGTAGTACTATAGGAACTGGGTCCCTAGCTGAAACATCATTGATTTCAACAATTCTATCTTGAGAGTTGAATAGTATATTATTAATAAGTTTACTAGGGTAAGAATTCTCCAGCAAAATCACTTTTAATTCATGAAGACTATTTTGTCTGTGTATTGGGTGGGTTAACTTAAGAGTTTCAAACTCTTGAATATTTCAACTCCTATGATCAAAATCTGCAGTTTACTTGTGAGCCGGAAGTAAACCACTGCTTACCTTTCTTAGATATGACAGTCATCAGAGCTGATGATAATATCTTGCGTACCAAGTGGTACAGGAAGCCGATGTGCAGTAATAGATACATGAGTTTCCACTCATATCACCCAATGAAAATGAAAATCAATCTAGTCCAAGCTTTGAAGAACCGGATAATTAAGTTAACCCACCCAATATACAGACAAAATAGTCTTCATGAATTAAAAGTGATTTTGCTGGAGAATTCTTACCCTAGTAAACTTATTAATAATATACTATTCAACTCTCAAGATAGAATTGTTGAAATCAATGATGTTTCAGCTAGGGACCCAGTTCCTATAGTACTACCAAAATACAAAGCACTACCATACATAGCAGAATTAACTCCAAAATTGTCGAATGTCTTCAAACATGAAAATATCATCATTGCAAAAAAACAAGTTAAAACAGTATCGATCCTTTTTTCTAAAACCAAAACTCCCATGAATAAACTAGAAATGAATAATGTAATATATAGAATCCCTTGCCTTAATTGCAACTTGACTTATATCGGTCAAACTTCGAGAAATTTATCAGGACGGATTTCTTCACACAAAAGTGATTGCAACTGTAATAGAAAACGCTGTGCACTAGCTGAACATGTCATTGATTCAAACCATAGAATGAACTTTAACGAGGTCAAAATTTTAGCACATGAAAATAGTTATTTGAAGCGCACTTTCTTGGAAATGGTTCACATTAATAATGAATCATATAGTATGAATAAAAAGTCCGATATCGACAATCTTAGCAACATTTATAATTATCTACTTGAAATTGAACAAATGAACTGTATTCCTAACAATATTTCCAGATTATCAATAACAAATCCTCAATAATAAGTTGGCTCACCACCCAATTATCAATTCAAATTTCCCACCATCCGTACCTTTTCGTAATCGATATCGAAATCGATTCGGCTCTTTCCGTATTATTTGTATCATCTGTGGCCGTTTGTTAGCTTCCATCTTGTTGAGATATCGAAGTCGACTATGAAAAAGCACTGGTGGTTTACTGTTTTTTAAATTGTTTTCTACGTTTTACAAATCCTAATGTCTTCCAGTTTGTGTAACAAATTCAGCAAATGAATCGTCTGTTCTTTAATTGTTCCAACTTTAAACCAATCTCATGTTAAGTAAGTACTTAGTTTCATATGAGTTTGATGTTGTTTTTTATGCATACCATTTTTCTTATAGATGCCTTGAAAAAGGAAATAAACATTTCCGAAAGCTCGGCTAAATAACGAAGAGTTCACTTATTTGATGCCTAAAATTTTGACTGCAACCCTATGAAGAATTGAACCACAGTGTTTTTTTCTAAATCACTAGTATTTTATATATATATATATATATATATATCATCGCTGTTACTTCAATATGCTCTATGAAAAGAAACAAAAAAGTGGACATACGAACAAACTCCTCAAGATCGATGATAATACAGCAAAACACGACCAAAAACACACAGTATGCAGAATACAACAAACTCAAACAAAGTGGAAATGGCTGACGGACGATCGATAATGACATTACAGAGAAACCGGCTCTGACTATAGAATCTGTGAGAAATATAAGCTGCATACTGGGCCCAGTCAGAATAATCATCAACAAAGCTGACATGCAAATATTCGTAAGCCATTCAACGCTTGCTGACTGAGAATATATTCCAGTATCATCTATCTTGAGTTGCTATTTGTCATTTCATATTAAGAGTTAATTTTCACCCTAGAACTCACCTAACTGATTGTTCTACATTGATTTTGATATAATCAGCAGTTTTTGAGATGCCATCAGCCCAAGCCTTCAACATAGTGTTCCCTGGTTTCTTAGTCTGTATCCAAATAGTAGCATCCTCTGTACTATCAGTCAGTTTAATCAAATCACAGCGACTGGTCCTAACCTTGAGATCTTTTGGTCCAGCTTGGAACATGTTACCCATATTATCATGGAAGGTGGCTTTGACCTAAAGAGAAACAGTTTACTGCATATTGCGAATCATATTCAAATATTGTGAAATTCATGTTTGCAGATTGTTCCGAATATAACTTGATTAAGCATAAATCTGCTGGTTTTATAGAATCACTGAAATAAGGCAACTGAAAAACAGATTGCATTGTCATTTCTTTCATTGAAACATGACATTCGATGATGTAGGCCGTTACCGTGATTCCGCTCCTAAGGTAATTAAAGGAAAATCCTTTGAGGTGTGAAATATTATTTGTACACAACTGTCAATAATAGTGTTCCTAATGATGGGCTGTATCTAGTTTGTAATTCATATCTTCAAAATGCAAATAAAATAAAAAACATTCATCCCTGGAATTTGTTTACCGTAGATACAGGCTGATTCATGAAAACTGTTGGTTAATCGAATTGGAAGATTGAATGAGTCAACATTTCTTGAAGTTGATGAAAAGCATTTCCACTAGAATATTCGTGAGCTTTTTTTTATCGCTTGGAGCTCACGAAAGGAAATCCCTATAATGTTCGAAGAACATTAGTAGTTAAAACTAAGAGAGCACGACTACCAGCATAGGGAAATACATGCTTTAATCTTAACTGGAACGCGGCCTGTGTTCTAGCGGGGAAGCGGGGTAGCGGGAGCGCGAGCTTATCGAAACCGCAACAAATAACACTTTAATGACAATAACAAGATGGTGACGACATCATCATCATCATGATGAATTTTTATATAAATAAATTAAAAAAAGCTGTCAACGCTGGGGGAAATTGAACCAGGGACCTTTGCATTATGAGGCAGCGTATATACGCACTGTGGTATTCCGACCTCCGTGATATTTCTATTATTTTAATGCTATTCAAACGGGTTATCCACCGCTGGCGCGCGCTTATCTTTGCAACGGATCCATCGAGGTAGAGTGAAGCGAGAGATGCATTCCAGAGATAAGAAACTTCGAGTTGAAAATAATATCCATCGCTGACGCTCGCTTATCTTTGCAACGGATCTATCGAGGTAGAGTAAGGCTCAAGCGCTCGGCGCTGCAACGTTGTCAGACGTATGTGTTTGGATGTTAATATTGTTACATTATTGTGTGTGGCAACGCTGTCTCGATTCATGGCGTTCGAAGATCCAGCAAAGCGAGAGATCCCTTAGAATGATAAGCGCGCGCTCGTATACCCATTCCTCAAACTGTGACTTTAATGACAATAACAAGATTGAATTTTAATATACAGGGTGTTTGAGTTAATGAAGATTGAAAAAAAATATATACAGGGCGGCTCATGAGGGTGAAAGAATACGAAAACGAAGATAAATAATCTATTTATTTAAGTAATCCTTTTCTACAAAAATGACATGCCTCTTGAGAAGATGGCGGTCCATCCCAGTGTGTGGTCCAATCGGGACGATTATAATGAACGAAGCATGGCAGTTTGATTTGTAGGTTAAAGTTGCTGCGATATTCTTGAGGAAGTTTGTGCCACACCCTTAATAGGTCACAGGGATCTGCATATTCAATGAGACATTCTACTGGAATGTACTGCAATTCTTGTTCAGTGAATTTCGTCAAAGTCAAAGCGGGAGATTTTATAAACTCCAATAGCACAGCTATTTCAGACTTCATGATTTTTCGAGCAGAGCTAAAATATTTCAGATGCTACTAGTTTCGCGTCAAGTTGTAGACTGATGAAATAAATAAAAAACGAGTCACATATTTCACAGGTTTTTATTCAAATCAGCCATCAAATCATTTTTACAGTAATATAGATATTCTCTGAGAGCGTTACTAGACATGCTATTGCAAACATCGCAAAACCCTAATATAAGCTCTTGTGCACTCAAAACAGTCAGTTTATTTTTTATCCATTCAGCTATTACATTCATAATATTCTGATAAAACATAAAAAAGTCCAAGTCATTGATTAAATTAACTCGATGTGAAACAATGCACATTTCAGCACTCAAAATGTCTGCAACATCCTCTTCCACCAATTCGAATGTAACGTGGTATTTGGTTAGTGACAACATTTTGACACCATCGCAAACGAATTTGGTTATGGCGATATAGTCTCCGCAGGTGGTAACGGCAGGATCATATTCATCAATGAAACAGGGCAGGGGTGCTTCAAAAAAGTCTTGTTGTACCTTATACAGCGAATCGATGAAGGTGGCCCATTCATATGTGGAGAACGAAATTTTCGCTGGATGGAAGGGTTTCTTCAGGATGATGCTCGGACTAAACTGTCTAGCTGGACTAAGTCCGCACTGAATCATGTAGGTGGACAACTGGAACGATGAAGTCAGCAGGAGGTACGATTCGGCTTTCGCTGCTTGCTCAATCATGTCCAAATATGTATTGACATCACCATAATAACCCATCATTGATGATGATGATGATCTAGAACTACCGTCTTCGAAAAGCACTTCACTAGATGAATAACCAGAGTCTTCACTCATTGTTCTCGAACTGATGTGTTGAAAGTTTCAGTCCTCATTATTTATACCATAACTGTTGACTGATCATAACATCCGGCAGATTGGAATAACAGGTTATTTGTTAGTGATCGATGAAAGGCCCTCTCATAGCCATTGAATGTGTGCTTCTTTTCCATATGTTTGCATTATAATTTATTGTTGGAATCAATCCAGCTGTTGTGTGTATCATCGAATCCTAGCCATTTGACAAACACCTTTTTACCCCTCTTTCTTAAAACTTTTTCCACTAGATAGATGTCAGGATTTATAGTTTTTTGCAATTCTTCAGGATAAAAAGCACCTTTGATCGGAGTACCATGCAAATCTTCCAAGATGTATGTAGTAGGTTTCGTAATACGAACTTTTACGATTTTAAATAGTTCAGTAGTCCAATTTGGCGTATAATTCTTTTCGAAAACATGTTTGGCTTTGCTGATTCTCACAATGTCACCAACGTTGAATTTTCTAATTCCAGCAATTTTTATGTGATTGTACATGGATTTTAAAATATCTTGTTCGTTGGCTTTGGTGACATCACTGGGCTTGCATCTTATTGTCGTATGTTTCGTGTTATTATAATTTTTCGTGATTTCAGGCAGGACATCTATCCAACGGTATGAGCCATTCAAACTAAAGTACTTGTATAGTTTTTCCTTCAATGTCCGTATAACACGTTCAGCAATGGCTGCCTTCATTATGGTGTACGTATGATAATGGTTGATGGAGAACTTTTTCATCAGACTTTGAAACTTTTCGTTGTAGAATTCGGTACCTTGATCGGTTTGCAAATTCTTGGGAATTCTGTTGTTGGCATGCGATAGAATATCAGCAAATGCACGAGCGATTTCAGCACCAGTTTTTGATTTTAGTGGTCTAGTCCATAGGTACTTGGAAAAACAATCAATCACGACCATTATCAGCTTGTGATCCTTATTTACAGAGGCATAAGGTCGCATTTCGGCTAGATCCATTTGCCATAAGTCATCCAAACCTTTGATGATAATGCGACGCCTTGGAAATTTTTTCCTAGCAGGTCTATGTAATTCATTGACGAGTTGGATTTTTTCTTTAGAATGTGACATATTGACTTCGTTGGATTAGGAGTTAATATGATGGGTTTCACACAGGAGGCTTCCTTTTTGGTGGCGGTGGTGTTGTCGTAGATTTTGGAGTGATGGCAATCTTGGCCAGATCTTTTTTCATTTGATCAATGACATCAGCAAGCTGGCGTTCTTTATCACAACTGTGTTGTTGCTCAGCCTTCAAATCGTGCAAACTCTTCACAGTGTTGTCAATCTTATCGACAAGTTCTAGAATATTTTTCACATTCAAGTCGATGTCGCTTTCGAGTTTTGGTAGAGAGTTATTGCGAAGCTGCTCCACATGTATGTTGATCTTGTGCACTATGTCAGACAACTGAACAGAGTTTGTATTGAACGCTGCCAGTTTCAGATCATGTACATCCACTCTCTTCCTTTCTTCGATTATTTCGTTGCTGAAGCCAGCAAGGTAATTTCGGATTTTTTCACCGTAATTATCGAAAGCAATCTTGAAATCTAACTTTATTTGCGATATAACTTCATCCACATATTGTTTGTTTGCAACATCAGCGGCATCTGTTGGCAGTTTTACGTTACACATCTTCAAATGACCAACATCAATATCACCGGTTGGAGTATGTGAAAATCCAGATCTGACTGTCACCATCTGAGCTGAGCGTGGAAACGAGCCACGTCCGAATTTGTCGAGACTCATTATGCTAATGACTAAAGTATTGTACGTTATCGATAATGGTCGGCACTTTGCATCGCCAATTATTAGCCCCTTCACTCATAGACATGCCATGAAAGTGTCACAGAAGTGTCAAGGAAGTGTAACGGAAGTTCACGGAAGTGTCAAGGAAGTGTCACGGAACTGTCACGGAACTGTCACGGAAGTGTCAAGGAAGTGTCACGGAACTGTCATGGAAGTTGTCATGGAAGTGTTACGGAAGTATCACAGAAATGTCACACATGTTTTATTATGCCTGCCTCTTCTAATTCATTCAAGATGGCAACAATCTCGTTATCGTTTGATGTATTTCCGGCTTGCTGTGATGCAATGAGCAACTTCAATCTATCTACCAATTCGTTTGGATCATCCCAATACATGTATTCGATAGGTGCTGTGTTGTATGTCAACTTCAAACCACGACCACTGGAATTGGATCTGAACATTGGACGAATAATTTCTACGTATTTGAGTCTAGAGGAAGACTTCATACGTCCTGCAGAATTCAGATGAGCTTTGGTGAGCAAGAGTATTTGCTTGTATGGGTTCGTATCATCTTTGGCAAAGGATGGATCATTATAGAAGAGTAATTGATAGAGGCCTGGGGTGCCACGGAACCGAAAGCCATCAAGAAGTATATCTCCAGTTCTTCGATGGAAATTCATTTCTTTTCCGTTGAGGGGCCATTTCGATGTTACTGGATCATATTTGGGGCCATAAACCGTATCGATATTTTTATCATTTGTCCAGTATTCAGT